CTTCTCCCGCCTGTTGGCAGCCGGGGCCACTCCGTGACTGGAAAGCTTTGAGGTTTAAACTTTTAAACGATACTTAAAACGAACGCAGTTGCCGAAGCGCTAACTCGGTTTTGGACTTGTATCTGCATTTCTGATGCCTCGGGATTCAAACTTGCCTTTTTTTCTTAATACTGATCAGCGCTGCCTAATGTTAATAGGACGTGCGAGTTCTACTGCGAATATGTGAATGAACAGCTAAAGTATAAAATGTGTCAAACACGGGCTGTAACTTCTTGCATCAGTGAGGTGGCAAAGTGGGAAGGCTTTGATGCCTGTCTGTAGGAGCAGGCAGATTGCGTGCACGTATCCATCTATCTTCCCGGTCCCCACCACCGTCATGTAGGTGAGCAAGAACACTACGGGGGAGAAAAGAGGGAAAGAAAAAACAAAAAAAAGTGCACCTGGATTGTTATACTTTACTATGCATACTGATTTTTTTACTCCCTTGCTTTTTCTCCGATCTTCTTTTGCTTTCGTCAGATCTAGGGATGATCTCTCATATACGAAATGCTCCACACATGTTGGCATTAAAGGGCTACTTAAATTGGCATACTGTGTATGAATTGTGTGTTATTAATCACCTGCTATCTCTGATTCCCTACTTCTTGTCTCCTGGGTTTTGATGCGATCAGTACTTCAGTCTAATGGGAAATGATGCCGTTCTGTTTAGGTGAGTAGTGTTTACCAAAATATCACAGTGTAGATTAAGCCAAATGCACGTCTAGGGTATTTTATCCTTTCAGGGAAATTAGTATGTTTTAAGGTGAAGCTACACAGCTGCAGTCCTACCAGTGCTAATGCTTAAAACAGAATATGTTGTCCCCGCCATCAATTAGGTGATGCTTTTCCAGCTTCTGTCTCTTTTTTTTTTTTTTTCTTTTTTTTTAAGCAGTGAGGTCTTAGACTGGATTTATACTTTCCTCTTTTTATGTCCACTGTATTTTTCAGAATTGTTGTGGCTTGGTTGAGTGTGATGAGGAATAATTGTCAAGGAGGTGAGGGAAGGAGGAGGAATGTTGTTGGCTTTTTCTTCAAGGTATGGGTTGCCTACAGAATAACATAGGGTAACTCAAGCGGTAATACAAGGTGAAGGCTTGTTAAATTTGCTGCTAAATGCAGTCACGAGTTCCAAAATTTATCTTCACAAAACTGTCTGTCTTAAGCGTTCACATTCGCAAGTAGAGTTTGAGATCAAGTTTGGGTTTTTAAATTTGCTTTCCCTGTCTCCCCATCTACCATTTTCAGCAAATGACTTGCTCACACATTTGTGAAAGTATTCATGAAGCTGTCGCTCATCTGCTTTCATATTCGTTGTTGAAACCACAAAATACCCCATGTGTCTGTTGGCCTGCTGAAGACCTTAGCTACAGCGCTGCTGGCTCAAGTTGATTCCAGAAGTGGCCTGGGATTCAGGCACCTCTGAGCTGCCAAGTGACTGGCATGGTGCGTTCCTGTGCTCGTTCTCAAGACTTGGGTCTCCTGCTACCTCCTCTCATCTCTTCCTCTCGTATGGAAGCACGTGTGTATGTTCATACGTAGTCTAGCAGAGTTCTAGGAGTGTGTGTCTGTGAACACTCCGTCGCCGTGATAACTCTTTGGAAATTTATTCTGGAGATGTAAGTGCCGTGTTGTTTAATTCAACTTTAATCTTACCTATCACAAAATGCGGCAGTGGAGAGGAGTTAGTACTGGTAGGATTCTTCACATCAGGATCTTGGCTCTTTAAAGTCCTTTTCAACTAACATATCTAATGTTTTTTCCTCCAAGTTTCAAATTTATTTTTTGGTTGCTCATCATCCATGAAGACACATTTTTGGTGTGGCTGAATACCTTTTAAAATAAATTCTGGCAATCCATGTTCTGTGTAGGCAATACGTTATTCCACCACTGTAAAACACGGGCTGAAAATGAATTAATATAGGGTACGTCTGTCCTATACTCAGTCTTTAGGCTGTCCTCATCTTCATTATGCTCTGTGTTCAAAACAGAGTTAAAAAATTGGTGTGTAAACGTGGCTTCAAAAACTAATGCCTGATTTGCTTTATTTTATGTGTGCATGCATATCTCTGATACTCACATGTAAGCAGAGATTGCTGACTGTATAATGGGCACATGGTAGGTTTTTTAAGTTGTCTATGTAGTCAACTGTGGTTACTGATGACTTGGTATTTTTCCTGAAATACGTGAAAGAGCAGAGTAGTTAAATTTGGAAATCTCTTTAAAATTTTGAGGTTTAGTTACTGTCTTTTGAGTGCTGTTAGTCTCGTGGATCACAAAACGTTAGCAGAACTTGGGGTGGAAATAATGTAG